ATGTAGGTTGAACGTGGACGAGGGGCTAATTTTTTCCAATTTTGTAGGTGGCGCTAGCGAGCCATTTTGCCCCGCCCATCCGCGAAACCCACAAAATACAAAATTTTTCATCAGTCCTGACATGCATGCCAAATTTGGTGACTTTTTGAGCATGTTGCAGCCCCGAAAATGGCGGTTACTTTGCAGAAAAAAGAAAAAAGAAAAAAAATTAAAGCTGCAAGCAGCGATGGGCGGGCCCTCGCACCTGTAGCACGTCGGGGTCTGAGGCAGCCGTGTTGCATTTTCTGCAGCTCAGCCAGTGCGGATGTGCATTTGCTACGCTGCTTCGTTAAAGGTCACTTCCTGTTGCCAGGAGGTGGCGCTATGACTGTGGGTGAATGTCGGCATGTAGATTTGTTCAGGGCGGGACTCTTGTCAAACGTGTTAAATTTTGTGCAGATCTGGGCATTTACAGCCAAGTTACTACAACTTCCTGTTTCATGGCGAATCATCGACGCCACGGACACGCCCATTGACGAAAACGCGCAGATAGCACAACTTTACATCGTCAATGCCTTTAGAAGGTACAGCAGAAATTTGAAGTTGATCCGACTAAATCCCTAGGAGGAGTTCGTTAAAGTACGGAGTGTGTAAATCTTCCCAAATGGGTGGCCAAATTCAAAATGGCGGACTTCCTGTCGAGTTTAGGGTATGGGTTCTTGAGGCTTTTTTGTGCGTCTGGTCATGGTAGATGTACCACAGAAATTTCGTACATATCGGTCAAACAAGCGGCGGGGGCTGCTTCGTTAAAGTTCACTTCCTGTTGCCAGCAGGTGGCGCTATGACTGTGGGTGAATGTCGGCATGTAGATTTGTTCAGGACGGGACTCTTGTCAAATGTGTAAAATTTTGTGCAGATCTGGGCATTTACAGCCAAGTGTCACGGGTCAGGGTGTGTCACCAGTTCCTCGCTGTTGTTTGTTTTGGTCCTGTCTTTTGCTGCAGTATGTTAGGGTGACAATTAGCACAATCGTGAGCTGATCTTCAATTAGCACTATCATGAGCTGATCTTCCTCACCTGTCGCTCGTTTCTCTACCCTTTATATACCCAGCTGTGTCTACCAGTGTTTGTCAGTGGATTGTTTTATGTTGCGTGTGCTGGTCTGGCCTGTTTGTGTTTGCTGTGCTACTTACCAGTGATCTGTGTTCAGGATTCCTAGACGTGTGGATCGGTGCAGGACTGTGCATCTGCTAGTTCACGTCCTCGTCAGTTGCTGTGCATTCCTGGACTCTCTGTTCTGACGGTGGTCTCTGCTTCTCTTCACGTCTGCAGTATTGCAGGCTCACCGGAACTACTGATCGGAGAGGCTTCACTATTATTCACTGTGTCACGGAATTAATTGTTCCCAAAGTTTTCTAAATAAACTTTTCACTACTCCTCACTGCATTTGAGTCCTCCTCATCTCTAAACTCCAGGGTTCACGACAGAATCCACTGACCATGATGGGCTCAGCAGAGGAGACGGATTTACATCGGGCCTTGGCCCAACAGGGCGTCCTGCTAGGACGACAGCAGGAGGAATTAGCAGCTAACCGACAGGCCATGTCAGAGATGTCACAGCAGCTAGGGGCAATTACTCATCGGCTTGAACAGTTGCAGATCAGCCCTCCAGTAGTTCCTACAGCACCAGTCCCACTTGACGCTGAGGGGATAGCGCCTCGCCGATCCGAACCTCGACTCAACCCACCTGCTTCCTATTCTGGTGAGCCTAATTCATGTCGCTCATTTCTCTCCCAGTGCTCATTGACTTTTTCACTCCAGCCTTCCTGTTTTCTAACGGAGAGATCCAGGGTGGCGTTTGTGATCATGCACCTCGCGGGTCTTGCGAGAGAGTGGGGAACAGCCATGTGGGACAATAAGAACGAGTGTTGCAGATCTTATGATGATTTCTCTAAGGAGCTTCGCAAGGTCTTTGATCGGTCAGCGTTGGGGACCGAGGCGGCCAGAGCGTTGTCGCTGTTACAGCAGGGGACTCACTCTGTATCGGCGTATTCTATTGAGTTCCGTACACTCGCGGCTTCCTGTGGGTGGAATCCCAAGGCTCAGTGGGACCATTTTCTTCATGGCCTAGCAGAGTACATCAAGGATGAGATTTATTCCTTGGAACTGCCCACATCACTCGACGGGTTGATTGATCTTGCCATTCGGGTTGATAACCGGATCTCCCTCCGCACCCAGACTCGGAGGGTGGAGTTTCCTCAGGACATCATCAATCACACACCAGTCACGAGAGGGGCTGCCTCACAACACTGGGGACTCCCAGAGGAGGAGCCCATGCAGATCGGAAGAGCCCATCTAACGATCATAGAGCGCCGTCATCGCTTGACCAATAACTTGTGTCTCTACTGTGGAGAGGCTGGTCACGTAGCGGCGGAGTGTCCCAGAAAGAGACAACGCCCTACATCTAAGGGACAGAGGACGGTGAGCATCACCAACACACAACTGCCATCTGGTGGCCAACCCATTCTCCCGGCTTTTCTACAGTTGGAGGGGGTTAATCAAGAAGTCTCTGCACTTATTGACTCTGGAGCGGAGGGTGACTTTATGGACATTGAACTAGCTGACCGCTTGGGTATTGGACGTTCTCTCCTGACTGAACCCATTGCCGCCAGAACCCTATGTGGTACCCCGCTTACTGAAATTACCCAGTCCACTAAGCTGGTCAAACTTACCATTTCGGGCAATCATACCGAGGAGATTCGTTTTCTTCTCATACACTCTCCTTCCGCTCCAGTGGTGTTGGGGCATACCTGGCTGGTTAAGCATAACCCGCACATTGACTGGATTCTTAATTCAGTGTTGGCGTGGAGTCCTTTCTGTCTGTCTCAGTGTTTAATGTCGGCATCATCTCCGTTAATGTCTGTTTTTACCCCACAGGAGGAACCGGTGAACCTGGCGAACGTACCGGAGGTTTACCATGACTTAAGAGCGGTGTTCAGTAGGTCTCAAGCTGCATCTCTCCCTCCGCACCGCCCGTACGACTGTGCGATTGAACTACTTCCTGGTACTTCTCCACCCAAGGGGCGCTTATACTCGCTCTCCGGTCCTGAGAGGGAGGCCATGGAAAGATACATCAACGATTCTCTGCGAGCCGGTATAATTCGACCCTCTTCCTCTCCAGCTGGGGCGGGATTCTTCTTTGTGGGGAAGAAAGATGGGTCGCTTCGTCCTTGTATAGATTTTCGGGGACTGAATGACATCACGGTAAAGAATAGCCACCCTTTGCCGTTGATGTCTTCAGCATTCGAACTCTTGCAGGGGGCGACTATCTTTTCGAAGTTGGACCTACGCAATGCTTATCACCTGGTTCGGATTAGGGAGGGGGACGAATGGAAGACCGCTTTTAATACCCCTACAGGTCACTTTGAGTATTTGGTCATGCCTTTTGGACTCTCAAACTCCCCGGCGGTCTTCCAGGCACTCGTTAATGATGTGCTCAGAGACATGGTCGACCGGTTTGTATTTGTTTATCTCGATGACATCCTGATCTTCTCCCAGAACAAGTGCGACCATGTCCAGCACGTCAGGCGAGTGTTACAGCGGCTGCTCGAGAATCGTTTATTTGCCAAGGTGGAGAAGTGTGAGTTTCACGCACGGTCGGTTCCATTCCTGGGTTTCGTTCTGTCGTCCAAAGGCATCCGTATGGATCCAGCCAAAGTAAAGGCGGTTGCGGATTGGCCTACTCCAGAGAATCGCAAGGCGGTCCAGCGGTTTCTGGGGTTCGCCAATTTTTACAGGCGTTTCATTCGGGGTTTTAGTCAGGTCGCCCTACCATTGACGAATCTCACCTCCACACGAATTCGATTCTGTTGGTCAATGCAGGCTCAAGAGGCGTTCGAAACCTTAAAGAGCCGCTTTGTTTCGGCTCCTATTCTCACCAACCCTGACCCGTCTCGTCAATTCGTTGTGGAGGTGGATGCGTCGGATGTAGGAGTGGGGGCAATTTTGTCTCAGAGGTCTCCTTCGGACGACAGAGTACACCCATGCGCTTTCTTTTCTCATCGTTTAACTCCTTCAGAACGGAATTACGACATCGGGAATAAGGAGTTACTGGCTGTTAAGTTGGCGCTGGAGGAGTGGCGTCACTGGTTGGAGGGTGCAGGGGTTCCATTTATAGTTTGGACCGACCATAAGAACTTAGAATACATCCGTTCCGCCAAAAGACTAAATTCTCGGCAGGCTCGCTGGGCATTATTTTTCAGCCGATTTGATTTTAACATCTCGTATCGCCCCGGTAGTAAGAACGGTAAGCCCGATGCGCTCTCACGGGTTTTTGAAGTAGAGGCTGGATCCACCTCTCCAGTGACTATCGTGCCTCCCAACCGGGTGCTTGCGGCGGTTACTTGGGGGGTGGAGTCCAGGGTCCATGAGGCGTTACGCGACGTCACGATTCCCGCCGAGTGTCCAGCGAGTCTGTTGTTTGTGCCGGAGCAGGTCCGAACTAGCGTACTTCAGTGGGGTCACTCATCCAGTCTAGCTTGTGTAGAAGATTTTATTATTTAGAAAACAAGTAACTTAGCTATATAAGAAACCACATTTAGTTCCTGAAACTTTGGGTCTGACATTTAGAAGCCCAATGCTGATACACCAGAATACTATTTCAGTATGTCACATGGTACAATGTATTTTTAAAACTATCTATAGGATGTCTGACCTTATATGGAAGAGGATGTATGTATATAACTCTGAACACAAAAGATTCGAGAGCGCAATAGGGCCGGAGGGCCGGAGGGCCAGCAGGCCAGAGCGTTAGAGCAACTATGCTGCAGAAGTTGCTCGGCTTTGTTTGTGAATAAAGTCTAATATTTCTGGCATTAGAGATCTCTGTGAAGTTATTTAAAAAAGACAGAAACCACTTCAAATGGCACCCCAGATGGGACACTTTCAGGAGCTGATGTTGAACTGCGGCGAGCTTTGCTGGACGAACGACACAAACTAAAAGTGGCCACAAGGTAAGCAGTTTTTGCTTAAACAAGTTTGTGTAGTTCGCCCAGACATTTGCTTGTTGCGGTAAGACATTTAAAATAAGCTTCTTTAAATTCAAAGAACTAAGACAAAATTTGAAAGGGGATCTCTCATTCCAGAAATGATTGCATGTAGTCTAATAAGAAAGCCTCGGGGATATAAAATAAATCGTAAAAGCCAGTATTTGTGTAGTCTGATGCAGATTATATAAATATCGGTATTAATTTGGTACTAAAAAGGGAATATATACTGATAAGGTTACTGATTAGGTTATCAGTGGTATCTGTATTTGCATGCATACAGATAAGTTCAGCTGCCGGTTACCGCATTGTATAACAATGGTCTGCTCAGGGTAGCTAAAAAAAGTTTTAGGTTACTGATAAGTTATCAGGGTTATCTGTATTTCTTAAGGTTAATTAGATAGCATGCGTACAGATAAGTTCAGCTGCCGGTTACCGCATTGTATAACAATGGTCTGCTCAGGGTAGCTAAAAAAAGGTATAGATAAATTAAGCTTCCGGTTACCGCATTGATTAGCAATGGTCTGCTCGGGGAAGGTATAGATAAATTTAGCTTCCGGTTACCGCATTGATTAGCAATGGTCTGCTCGGGGAAGGTATAGATAAATTTAGCTTCCGGTTACCGCATTGATTAGCAATGGTCTGCTCGGGGAAGGTATAGATAAGTTCAGCTGCCGGTTACCGCATTGTATAACAATGGTCTGCTCAGGGTAGCTAAAAAAAGATATAGATAAATTAAGCTTCCGGTTACCGCATTGATTAGCAATGGTCTGCTCGGGGAAGGTATAGATAAATTTAGCTTCCGGTTACCGCATTGATTAGCAATGGTCTGCTCGGGGAAGGTATAGATAAATTTAGCTTCCGGTTACCGCATTGATTAGCAATGGTCTGCTCGGGGAAGTTGTAAAGTTGTTTGTCATTTTAAAGTTGTTAATTTTAAAGTTGTTTGTCATTGTGTCAGTAAGTGTTATAGTTTAAAGAGTTTTTTTTTAGTAAGTAAAACTGATAGGGAGTGGAGTACAGAGTAAAAGCTTTTATGTGTGCGTGTCTGTGGGATCCTGTGTGTCTGCTTGACTGTGCCTGTGGTTAAAAAATAGGGGACAAGGAATGTTTGAATGATGTGTATGTAGTAAAAGTAAAGGAAATAGTAAAGAATAACAATTGTTTCAAAATATTAACCTGGGAGATTATTGTAGTGTAGTATGAAATAAGCTAAAGTTATAAAATAAATATTTAATTAATAATTATAATGATGTGTATATATATATATATATATATATATATATATATATATATATATATATATTGATAAAGATGAATATAAATGCACGTGCTTAATTTATTATATCTTAAATCTGAAGACGTCTAAAATTTGTATCTCATTATCCCTTAAGACGGATTGAAAAAAAAAAAAAGTATTCCATTGTAGATAAAGTTTGTGCTAAGAAAAAATAACTTGCAGTCTGCTAAAAGTGAACAGGATTGGGTGACCAAGTTTCAACATACATAAATAACTTACAGCAATCTTAGAACTGTAGTAAAGGGGATTATTGAAAATGGGTAAGGAAAAGTTTATTCACCATGTGAGATTATTTTGAGCACAGCATGTAAATTTAGGAAAGATTAAAAGCTGATTTTATAATAGGGAAAATTATTTAGATTATACTCAGATAATCAAAGTTAGATTATTGCATATTGCAAAGAAGAAATGGCTTGCTTTTTCCTGCAACGAAGAACTTGCTTCAGTAAAAACAGAATGGGAGAACTGCTGGTGTCAACCAGTGATTATTATATAAAAAAACTAGGAAAAGAAAAAGAGCTAATTGCTCAGCAACAAATTTGATTCATGCAGTTCTCTGAGTGTTCTAATTTCAGATGGTTTCAGTGTCCAATGGAAGAGGTGAAAGGTCAAAGAGACAACTGCAGAGAGGAGAAGAGGGTGAGGAGTGTTCAGCTCCCTCCTGAAGATGACCACTTTCTGGAAATTCAACATGGAGAAAGACTGATTAATGCTGGAAAAGGTGAAACTTTCACTATTTCACTGGAGACGTTTTCCTGAGGACAAAGAGGAAAATCCTGACATGCTGAGGCTAAATCTATCAAAAGCCTGAACTCAGAAGAGGCAGAGAAACAAGAGAGCCTATATTACAGTCTGCAACACAAGACCTTTGAGTGACAGCGGACGACACATGCAGAGAAACAGCCAAGAAGATTCAAAAGACTGAGAAAAACAAGCAAACAGAGAAACTGACTGACACCCTTCCCTCACGGGCAACACAGGTGTGGCGACTCCAATGATCACTCTATAGAGAATGCTCCAAATTTGGTTAATTATTAGATTAACTTTATTCGATTATTCACTGGTCTTATAAGCACTTCTTAATATTCTCTGCTAAACTAACCCTCTCTGCTTTTCCAGTAGGTTAAGTCCAGCCCTATAAAAAAAGAAAGAAAGTACACTAAAAGAGACAAGTGGGTGCTCAACTCACTAAATAGATCAAACTGAGGCTGGATGTGGTATAGTGAGGGTCATTAAATGAAACGACTATATGGCTAAAAGCATGAGAAAAATGATTTTTGTAGGGAAAAAAACACTAAAATATGGAAAACTGTCAAAGAATTATTATTATTGTTGGCAAAGCAATGATACTGGTCACTCCATTGTGTTTTGATCATTTCCTAGACATAGATTGGAGAAAAAATTACTCCAAAAGTAAAAAAAAAAAAATATATGAAATCGCAAATGCTGTCAATACTGGGATAATGAGATGGAAATGTTGTTGGCCATGGATCCAATATTATGCAGAGATCTCAAATTTGATTCTTAAAGCAGCTCATGAGCAAAAACCAAAAAGAATAGGAGAAATCAGAACAACAAATAAGAAAAAAATAATAATATGCATTTGAAAAATTACAATTGAAAGGCCAAATTATTCTAAATTACTCAGTCTATTAGAGCTTATAAAAGAAAAAAAGGTTATAAAAATTGTGTAAACTAAACCTTGATCATTGACACTTCTCAGTAGTGGTTAACAGTTGTGTTGACCTGATCTTACCTTGTGTTTAAAATTATAAGATGCCGCATTTATAGCACAACCTGCTGAAGAGCAAGAATGTATGCTGGCCAGTGTGTGTGAGAATGACTGAGTGTGAAAGGAGTGAGAGATGGCGCTTGAAGAAACACTAAGGCAAATAAATTACAGTATTTTGCCAATACAGCTGTATTTAATCTTTAAAATGTGGGCCCACAGGGCAAATTCTGCCCAATAAAATAATGAATATGGATGAATTTGATTAAATTTCCTGGTTGGAACTATGGTGGCAATATGAAAAAGGAAAAAGGAAAAAAATGATAAAGGAAAAGGAAAAAAGATGGAAAAAAAATTGAAAAACCAATCCCATAACTGCGCAGCGCATAACATATCTGACTTTCTTTGCAGCATAACACAACTGAATTTATTTGCAGCATATCAAGAGGAGCTGATCTTTGTCAAAAGTATGAAATATTGTCTGGTAACTTTTGTCTTGTAACAAAGTGGGTTGAGTGTTGTCCAAGATATCCAATAAATAGTGCTGATAGTGGAACTCAAGACAAAGAGATAACTGAGTTGAATTGACTAATTGTAAGAGTACACTGGAATTTTATTAAAATATAAATTTATTATAAGAAAAATGAAGGAAATTAAAAGAAAGAAATGAAAGAAGTTACAATTATGATGTTAAAAAGCCAAACTATATAAAAAACAAGGAGAATATATGGATTAAAGTCCTGATGTTTATGAAAGGGCCAGGACACCACTCAGCCTACATGACCTTTCTACAGGAAACACCAAGGAGGACAATGGGACAGATATGCAGATGATTGAAATCACATCATGTTGTCACTAACAAAAATAATTAAGCTTTAATTCACAGATAGCTGCAGCTTAATTACGGGAAGGGGACGAGTCTAACAAAAAGAACCATTGGTACGTTTTGTAATTTCAGAAGAAGTGATCAACAGAGTGACATTTGAGTCCATGCTTCTCAACTTAAAATACACCAACCGACTTAAGCAACCCCCCACAAAGGGAGTGAGGGATCATGCTGACCAGAGTCCATTGCAATGAACAACTCAAAAGTCATCCTGATAAAAGATGTAAAGATGACCAGAGAGCTAACAGAATGATCAAATCATAAATGTAAAAAGACAACAAACTTGACCAGTAATGCAAGAATGAGAAGAGCTGTTCAAAGAAGAGAGACTCAACAGAGATGAGTAAAAGCTCAAACAACAGTCAACATCAACCAAACTATCCTGTGATTGAAGGTTCAGCCCTTGAATAGATTCAGTACCAACTTAATAATAACCCCAACAGAACAAAAAATGATCGAAGAGAAAAATATATCAAAGTAACGTAAAAACAATGATAATGCAAAATTAAGAAAAGAAAGTAGAATAATGATAAAGATTAATTTAAGAAATTGATAGGGTAAAGCATGAATTAAGATAATTCATGAAGGAAAAATTAGAACTAAAAAGAACTTTTAAAATAAATCTTAGTTGGTATATAATTGGGCAATACAAGGGTATACAAAATTAATTTAGACAAAGGGTATACAAAATTAATTTAATTAATAAGATTACGAATTGATATATTGACTAATTATAAAATTACATCAAACCAATAACAAACAGATCCTCCTAAAACAATCTAAATGGCACCAGAGGGGGGTAAAAAAAAAAAAATATTTGGCATTCACATGAAGCATAGATTATTGAACCAACAATGCGCAATGGTATTAAACCAGTGCGCAAAGGGGGGAGTAAGGTAAGAAAATTAATTAAGGATAAGGAAATTTAAATTAAGGCAGAAATAGTAAGGTAAAATTAACTAATTAAGAAAGGATAAGGAAATTTAAATTAAGGCAGAAATAGTAAGGTAAGATTAACTAATTAAGAATAAGGAAATTCAAATTAAGCCAGAACAGAAATTGAAATTAAAATAAGTTAAAATTAAAGGCAGTCATTTTAAAATGAAAGGCATGTTTTGTGAAATTTGTGGCAAAAACGAAGTTAAGAAAAAGAACAGCGACAAAAATAGGCCATAAGTCAGTATCAGAAAGGCTATTAAACAATTTGGTAAGAAATATGTGGACAAGATATGGATGGGTAAAAGCAATGAAATCAACAGAGGAGGGACAGGAACAGAAATTAAATCTCTAACAGAGAAGTAATCCATAGATTGGAAGTCTTTCAGAAATAAGGTCAGATAATGAATTAGCTGAACAGAAGTATTGAAGATTAAATAAGTTGCATATACGAACACAAGGAAGTTTTAATAATAAAGAAGTTATAATGCTAATGGTTTAAATAAAAATAAAAACCTTAGATTGTTAGATATACAGAAAAAATAAATCTACATATAAGGTATATGTAAGAGTGCAAAAAGTTGTTTGCTAGAGTTATTTTTCTAATTGTCGAAAGAGTTTATTGAATGACTTTTATGAGGTCAATGTATAACATTGCTCTGGAGCTTTCTTAGTTAGAGTGAGTACATGAGACATAATTAGTTTATTCAAGATAGTTTATTTAGAAATTAGTAGAAAAGAAGAAGAAGTATTCAGTTAAGGTAGTATTGAACTAAAGAATAAAGAGAATAGGAAGCAACACGCAAGATTAAAAAATCAAAACGTAATTTGAAATGTAAAACTTTTGACAAAATGCGAAACCTATTGTGATTGTTAAATAGAAAGGTACAATACAATGTTCTGTTTGTTCATCTGCTACAAAAAGAACTGACTGACTTAAAGACTGATTCTTTGAATTTAAGAAGTGATATTGCTTCATAATATGTGATAAAAATGAAAGAGTTATTTTTACCTAGCCTTATTTTGAATTAAGTCATATGGATCATGCAAAACCAAAATGCATAATGAATCAATTAGACTATTATAATAAGCAAAGATTTATTATAATGCTTTGTCTGCATTAGGAAAAAAACATTTATGTGAAAAAGTAAAATGACTTCTTTTTGGAGATCAGTGCTACTAAAAAATATATATATATATATATATATATATATATAAATAATATACTAAATAGTATTGTGCAGGGAAAATTCAGCAATAACAATTAAGTGGGAGAAAACCTTAAGAGCAGAGGTTAAGTGGAAAACTTAATGTAAAACTGGGAAAATTATGGTTTGCTCAATTAGGAATGTTTTTTGAGGTAAAATTTTGAAAGTGGGTTATTATTCTGTTGTGTACTTTGCATATTAAGATCATCGGTTGCCAAAAACTACAGTTAAACAAATGGAGGTGCTAAAATGTCAAGGAAATGGGAAAATAAGTCTAGAGGACAGCCAAGGTATTACCAAGATACCAATGGGATTTTACAAGCATTGGATACGGATTCAAGTACCTCAATTGAGGACGAAACAGATGATTGATGAGCCAGACCCTGGGTGTAAGTACTGGCCTGCCCTCTCCCCAGTGGTGACCCTCTACGATACGCAAAGTGTCTGGGTCGAAGAGGAAGTCTACGCTACAAGGAAAACTTTTAACAGTATAAGAGACTTTTATGTTTGACGTACACTAAATAACTGCGACATCCACAGACAAGGCCGAGCAAAAGTACACGCTTATGCTTATAATAATGTTTAATGTTTGTCTTGTTAGGGAGAACTCGAGTCTTTTACTTTTTCCATTAACAAAAAAGAAAAAAAAAGACAACTAAAAGAAATAAAATGTATGGAAGAAGATGTTTGGCTCGAGTGCTCCTCCAGGAGTGTGGTGGCATAATCTAGTCATTGGAAAGGAGAATGGGTGACTCAGTTGAGTCACTAGGTAGCATAACTGAGGGGGCTGGATTTTGAAACTACACTCTGGAAAGGAGTTTACAGTGGGGCTTAAATAAGCCCCAGAGGAGGGAATGTAGAAGATTTTATTATTTAGAAAACAAGTAACTTAGCTATATAAGAAACCACATTTAGTTCCTGAAACTTTGGGTCTGACATTTAGAAGCCCAATGCTGATACACCAGAATACTATTTCAGTATGTCACATGGTACAATGTATTTTTAAAACTATCTATAGGATGTCTGACCTTATATGGAAGAGGATGTATGTATATAACTCTGAACACAAAAGATTCGAGAGCGCAATAGGGCCGGAGGGCCGGAGGGCCAGCAGGCCAGAGCGTTAGAGCAACTATGCTGCAGAAGTTGCTCGGCTTTGTTTGTGAATAAAGTCTAATATTTCTGGCATTAGAGATCTCTGTGAAGTTATTTAAAAAAGACAGAAACCACTTCACTTGCCACCCGGGAGCTGCTCGAACATGTTCGTTAATCAAGCAACGGTTCTGGTGGCCTTCAATGGCGCAGGACACTCGAGAGTTTGTTTCGGCCTGTCCGGTGTGTGCGGTGGGTAAGGGCTCGAATCGACCCTCAGCAGGGCTACTCCGGCCACTGTCTATCCCTTCGAGACCCTGGTCACACATAGCCATGGACTTTGTCACAGGTCTACCCCCATCTAGTGGCAATACCGTGGTCCTTACTGTGGTCGACAGGTTCTCGAAGGCGGTTCATTTCATTTCCCTCCCCAAATTACCGTCAGCGAGGGAGACAGCGGCCATTGTCTTAGACCACGTTTTTCGCATTCATGGCCTCCCGGTGGACGTGGTCTCAGACAGGGGTCCCCAATTTGTGTCTAGATTTTGGACAGAATTCTGTCGACAGTTGGGGGCGACTGCGAGTTTATCTTCCGGTTACCATCCGCAGACTAACGGTCAGGCTGAGCGAGCTAATCAGGACTTGGAGAGAGTCCTGCGCTGTGTGGCGTCGGCAGAACCGTCGACTTGGAGTTCTAGATTAACCATGGTTGAGTACGCACATAACTCACTCCAGGTCTCGTCTACGGGATTGTCGCCCTTCCAGTGCTGTTTAGGCTACCAGCCCCCGTTATTTCCCTCCCAAGAGACCGACGCCATGGTTCCATCCGCTCAGACGTTCATTCAGAGATGCCTTCGCACGTGGAGGCTCGCCAGAGAAGCCCTTTCCCGGACTGGCGAAAGGAACAGGGCATTGGCGGACCGTCACCGGTCTAAGCCCCCACTTTACGTGTGTGGTCAAAGGGTTTGGTTGTCTACCAAGGACATTCCCCTCAGACTTCCTGCACGTAAACTGGGACCCAAATTCATTGGACCGTACATTATAACTAAGGTGCTTAACCCGGTGACTGTTCGGCTCAAATTACCCCCCCAATTTAAGAGAATTCACCCGGTGTTTCACGTGTCCAAGGTCAAGCCCGTTATTCGCTCTCCACTTCAGCCCCAGACCTCTGCTCCGCCGCCTCCCAGACTCATCGAGGGGTTGCCCGCCTACACGGTGCGAAGACTTCTTGATGTGAGACGGAGGGGTAGAGGTCATCAATATCTGGTAGACTGGGAGGGTTATGGTCCGGAGGAGAGATGCTGGATTCCGGCTCGTGACGTGCTGGACCGCGCTCTGATTGACCAATTCCATCGGCGTCATGGTGAGTCCTCCGGGGACGCCAGGAGGCGTCCCTGAGGGGGGGGGTTCTGTCACGGGTCAGGGTGTGTCACCAGTTCCTCGCTGTTGTTTGTTTTGGTCCTGTCTTTTGCTGCAGTATGTTAGGGTGACAATTAGCACAATCGTGAGCTGATCTTCAATTAGCACTATCATGAGCTGATCTTCCTCACCTGTCGCTCGTTTCTCTACCCTTTATATACCCAGCTGTGTCTACCAGTGTTTGTCAGTGGATTGTTTTATGTTGCGTGTGCTGGTCTGGCCTGTTTGTGTTTGCTGTGCTACTTACCAGTGATCTGTGTTCAGGATTCCTAGACGTGTGGATCGGTGCAGGACTGTGCATCTGCTAGTTCACGTCCTCGTCAGTTGCTGTGCATTCCTGGACTCTCTGTTCTGACGGTGGTCTCTGCTTCTCTTCACGTCTGCAGTATTGCAGGCTCACCGGAACTACTGATCGGAGAGGCTTCACTATTATTCACTGTGTCACGGAATTAATTGTTCCCAAAGTTTTCTAAATAAACTTTTCACTACTCCTCACTGCATTTGAGTCCTCCTCATCTCTAAACTCCAGGGTTCACGACACCAAGTTACTACAACTTCCTGTTTCATGGCAAATCTTCGACGCCACGGACACGCCCATCAACGAAAACGCGCAGATAGCACAACTTTACATCGTCAATGCCTTTAGAAGGTACAGCAGAAATTTGAAGTCGATCCGACTAAATCCCTAGGAGGAGTTCGTTAAAGTACGGAGTGTGTAAATCGTCCAAAAATGGCCGCCAAATTCAAAATGGCGGACTTCCTGTCGAGTTTAGGGTAAGGGTTCTTGAGGCTTTTTTGTGCATCTTGATATGATACACGTCCCCACCAAATTTCGTGCATGTAGGTTGAACATGGACGAGGGGCTAATTTTTTCCAATTTTCTAGGTGGCGCTAGCGCACCGTTTTCCCACGCCCATCCGTGAAACCCACAAAATACGAAATTTTTTACCAGTCCTGACATGCGTGCCAAATTTGGTGAGTTTTTGAGCATGTTGCGGCCCCGAAAATGGCGCTTACTTTGCAGAAAAAAAAATAAATAAAAATTAAAGCTGCAAGCAGCGATGGGCGGGCCCTCGCACCTGTAGCGCGTCGGGGTGTGAGGCGGCCGCGTTGCATATTTTGCAGCTCAGCCGGTGCGGCTGTGAATTTGCTACGCTGCTTCATTAAAGGTCACTTCCTATTGCCAGCAGGTGGCGCTATGACTGTGGGTGAATCGGCATGTAGATTTGTTCAGGGCGGGACTCTTGTCAAATGTGTAAAATTTTGTGCAGATCTGGGCATTTACAGCCAAGTTACTACAACTTCCTGTTTCATGGCGAATCTTCGACGCCACGGACACGCCCATCGACAAAAACGCGCACATAGCACAACTTTACATCGTCAATGCCTTTAGAAGGCACAGCAAAAATTTGAAGTCGATCCAACTAAATCCCTAGGTGGAGTTTGTTAAAGTACATAATGAGTAAATCATCCCAAAATGGCGGAAAAAATTAGAAATGGCTGACTTCCTGTTGAGTTTAGGGCAACGCTCCAAGAGACTTTTCTGTGTGTCTGGACATGGTAGATGTACCACAGAAATTTCGTACATGTCGGTCAAACATGCGACGGGTACTGCTTCGTTAAAGGTCACTTCCTGCTTTCACTAGGTGGCGCTATGACTGTGGGTGAATGTCGGCATGTAGATTTGTTCAGGGCGGGACTCTTGTCAAATGTGTAAATTTTCGTGTAGATCTGGGCATTTCCAGCCAAGTTACTACAACTTCCTGTTTCATTGCGAATCATCGACGCCACGGACACGCCCATCGACGAAAACGCGCAGATAGCACAACTTTACATCGTCAATGCCTTTAGAAGGTACAGCAGAAATTTTAAGTTGATCCGACTAAATCCCTAGGAGGAGTTCGTTAAAGTACGGAGTGTGTAAATCGTCCCAAATCGGTCGCCAAATTCAAAATGGCGGACTTCCTGTCGAGTTTAGGGTATGGGTTCTTGAGGCTTTTTTGTGCGTCTGGTCATGGTAGAAGTACCACAGAAATTTCGTACATGTCGGTCAAACAAGCGGCGGGGGCTGCTTCGTTAAAGGACACTTCCTGTTGCCAGCAGGTGGCGCTATGACTGTGGGTGAATGTCGCCATGTAGATTTGTTCAGGGCGGGACTCTTGTCAAATGTGTAAAATTTCGTGCAGATCTGGGCATTTACAGCCAAGTTACTACAACTTCCTGTTTCATGGCGAATCTTCGACGCCACGGACACGCCCATCGACGAAAACGCGCAGATAGCACAACTTTACATCGTCAATGCCTTTAGAAGGCACAGCAGAAATTTTAAGTCGATCCGACTAAATCCCTAGGAGGAGTTTGTTAAAGTACGGAGTGTGTAAATCGTCCAAAAATGGCAGCCAAATTCAAAATGGCGGACCTCCTGTCGAGTTTAGGGTATGGGTTCTTGAGGCTTTTTTGTGCGTCTTGATATGATACACGTCCCCACCAAATTTCGTGCATGTAGGTTGAACGTGGACGAGGGGCTAATTTTTTCCAATTTTGTAGGTGGCTCTAGCGAGCCATTTTGCCCCGCCCATCCGCGAAACCCACAAAATACAAAATTTTTCACCAGTCCTGACATGCGTGCCAAATTTGGTGAGTTTTTGAGCATGTTGCGGCCCCGAAAATGGCACTTACTTTGCAGAAAAAAAAAAAAATAAAAAAAAAAATAAATAAATAATCCTAACAGTTTCAATAGGGTCCTCGCACTGTTAGTGCTCGGGCCCTAATTAAAGCTGCAAGCAGCGATGGGCGGGCCCTCGCACCTGTAGCACGTCGGGGTCTGAGGCGGCCGCGTTTCATTTTCTGCAGCTCAGCCAGTGCGGCTGTGCATTTGCCACACTGCTTCGTTAAAGGCCACTTCCTGTTGCCAGCAGGTGGCGCTATGACTGTGGGTGAATGTCGGCATGTAGATTTGATCAGGGCGGGACTCTGGTCAAAGGAGTGAAATTTCTTGCAGATCTGGGCATTTACAGCCAAGTTACTACAACTTCCTGTTTCATGGCGAATCATCGACGCCACGGACACGCCCATCGACGAAAACGCGCAGATAGCACAACTTTTCATCGTCAATGCCTTTAGAAGGCACAGCAGAAATTTGAAGGCGATCCGACTAAAGCCCTAGGAGGAGTTAGTTAAAGTACGTAATGAGTAAATCATCCAAAAATGGCGGTAAAAATAGAAATGGCTGACTTCCTGTTGAGTTTAGGGCATCGCTCCAAGAGACTTTTCTGTGCGTCTGGACATGGTAGATGTACCACAGAAATTTCGTACATGTCGGTCAAACATGCGACGGGGGCTGCTTCGTTAAATGTCACTTCCTCTTGCCACTAGGTGGCGCTATGAATGTGGGTGAATGTCGGCATGTAGATTTGTTCAGGACGGGACTCTTGTCAAATGTGTAAAATTTCGTGTAGATCTGGGCATTTACAGCCAAGTTACTACAACTTCCTGTTTCATGGCGAATCATCGACGCCACGGACACGCCCATCGACGAAAACGCGCAGATAGCACAACTTTACATCGTCAATGCCTTTAGAAGGTACAGCAGAAATTTGAAGTTGATCCGACTAAATCCCTAGGAGGAGTTCGTTAAAGTACGGAGTGTGTAAATCGTCCCAAATCGGTCGCCGAAT